GTTTAGAGACGGCGCTTTAACAGGCTCACCTTCACCATCCCTTAGTAATGCTGATATACAGTCATCCTCAAATGTATTCCTATCCTTCCATTAAAGAAAAAGCAAAACTCACAATAGTCACTCAAATAAGTAGAAACTGAAAAAAGTAATAATAAATAAAAATTTGCTAAATTAGAATTTAGTGAAATAAGACATTGCTTTTGAATTGCGGTTGAAAAGAATTTTAAAAAAACAAAAAAAGAAAAATGTCAGGGACAAATCAGAGCACTTTGTTGATGAGCAGTGGGCCAAAATCAAAACACCTGTCAACAGGTGCAGAAGTCTGATGGAGAGTTACAGAAAACACTTGATTGACTCAAAGGTTTGTTCAACTAAATACGGGTCCCATCATGCTTGTTTGCTTATTTTTGTTTGTTTTTTAAAAATATTTCTGTTGAAGCATAATTCAAAAGCAATGTCATGATTTTCATAATTTTTTTTATTTATTATTAATTTTGTCAATTTCAACTTATTTCAGTGACTGAACCTGTTTTGTTTCCTTCTTTAATGGGAGGGTTTGAATACATTTGAGGACGACTGTACGTCTGCTTGTAAACTCCCATGATGCACTGAGTACCTTTTACATAAACTGTATAAAAAGACATGAAACCTTTTTTTTTCTCTCACTGTCTGACATTAAATCAGACTCAACTTTTCCTGTTTTAGGTCAGTTACAATTACCAAAATTATTTATATTTGCTAAATGCCAGAATTATGAGAGAGAGAATTTTTATTACTATTAACATATATTACAATATGTTTGGTTAAAGTTTTTACTAAGGTCAATGTAAAATGATTACATCATAGTGTACTACAATACCCATGAGCCATCGGATCTATCGCTGTATTCAGACAGCTTTCTTGCACTCGGTACCAGAATGTGACACCAGAGATGCTCATTTTCAAAACTGAGCCAGAATTCAAAGTAAACTGATTCCAGCTGGATATTCTGTTTTTTGATTTTCCCAGTAGCGAACGCTTTATCTCTCTGCCACCAGCAGCAGCTTATTTGACAGAATTTGAAGATCAATGACTGGATTTTTTCCCCTGAAATGCACTTCAGGAATCACAGTTTGTGCGTAGAAGCTTGTGCCTTTGACTTTTTTATCAAAGAGCCAAATATTTTGTAATGCTCTTGTTAATCAGTCCGAGCTACAGATGTGCTCCAGCTGTGAATCACCTGACGTGCTTTATGTTTAGAACGAATGGGGGCAAGGTGCAAGTTGGTTAGCACCGTTGCCTCGCAGGATGAAGGTCGCTGGTTCGCGTTCCGGTGAAGACACCCGTGGAGTCTCCATGTTCTCCCCGTGCAGTGTGGGTTCTCTCCGGGTTCTCCGGCTTCCTCCCACACAGTCCAAAAACATGTTGAGGTTAATTGGTGATTCTAAATTGTCCGTAGGTGTGAATGTGAGTGTGCTTGGTTGTCTGTCTCTAAGTGTAGCCCTGTGATAGACTGGTGACCTGTCCAGGGTGTCCCCTGCCTTCACCCTGAGTCAGCTGGGATAGACTCCAGCCCCCCATGACCCCAGTGAGGATTAAGCGGTGTATAGATAATGGATAGGTGGATGGATAGAACAAATGGGACTTTTACTTCTAGAAGCAGAAACAACTGCAACTTGCAGCTCTGTTAAGTTAGACAACTACACAACCTTTTCGTCTTTTTTTCCTCTTTTCTTCATTGTTTTGCACCTTTTGTACAGCTTCGTGCAGTTCAAGGTGCTTTACAGATGACTGACAAGCTGATAATAATTTTAAAAATGGTGAAAAAATAACAATAAATCTCACGAAATGGATTCTAAATAATATTAATAAAATCTAAATGTGATTAAAATAGATTAAACTATTAAACGCCTGGAAAAATGATCAGTCAGATAAATTGCATCCCTATTGGGGTTTTTTCATAATAAACTAAGCGGCACAAATGATCTTCTACTGATGCGGCAGAAGATCAGATAAATGGACAGAAACGCAGATGATTTGTCCTCAGGGAAAGCAGGAGACAGTAAAAGTCACTGGGTTCTTACTTCATGTCTGCGTCTTCTCAGCAGTAAACAAAACCCATCCTCGTTCTAACCGACAGCTCTCGTAAATCAAATGACATCAATACAGCGCTTTAGACACGGGAAACTTGAAAGAAGGACATAAAGTTAGTTTCGGTGAAATGAAGGACGCACACAGTCGGACATTTGAGTCGTGGTCTTTCTCTCTCTCTCGATGAATTCAAATGTAGGATCAGCTGTCGTACACTTTGGTCATATGCACCTTGATAAACATGCCATCGCTGTGATATGAAATGTGCGGGACTCTGGACGCCAAGAGGAGAAATTGGGCCATGAGACGGGACTTCATTTGCTTCATTTGCTACAATGGATATGAAGCTTTTTTTCTTCACTTAATTGCAGCCCATTCCAAAACAAGTTTTTAAAGGATTCTTGATGTTGGCAGTTAATGGAGTGAAGGTCGGCTGCTTAAAAGACAGATGGCTGATACCACAGTCTGTACATAAAAGATGGGTGTTGCCCATTTGCTTGTGGACTAATGCGTAGAAGCTTCAAGTGTAGCCCTGTGATAGACTGGTAACCTGTCCAGGGTGTCCCCTGCCTTCACCCTGAGTCAGCTGAGATAGAGTCCAGCCCCCCATGACCCTAGTGAGGATTAAGTGGTGTATAGATAATGGATGGATGGATGTATCTTCGCTGCTCTAAGAGAGAACCCGTAGAGAACTCACGCTGCACGGGGAGAACATGCAAACTCCACGCAGAGAGATCCTGGGTGTCCTCACTGGGATGTGAACCAGCGACCTTCTTGCTGCGAGGCAACAATGCTAACCACTGAGCCACCTTGCAGCCCAACAAAGATACATTTACATAAAATGAAAAACAGATAATACATGATAACCTAAGAGCTTGTGATTGATTTTACTTTCACACACTACACTGTGTATTGTGCAGCATTCAAGGCTAAAAATGTACTGTTCTGGGAAAAAAAACAAAAAAAAACACTCCTACTACCCTCCTGAAGATGCAGCAATCTAATATCAGTCAAACAGGGATGGTAAAGTTCATAGTTTTTTTCTGAAACCAAACCCACATCCTCGTCTGGACACTTTGATTCAACCTCTCCCTGTCTGTCTGTCTGTCTGTATGTAGCAGCTCTGCAGTCTAATGCCAACACCAGCTCAGCTCCACTGATCTTATGAACAAAGAGAGAGATCAAATCTGGCACGATTGTAGCCAAGAAGTGTAAAAATAAATCACCAAGGAAGTGGGTGGGCTCAGGCCAAAGCTATTCATCGATCCATCAGCTTGTAGATTCTCCCAGACTCTCAAGCCAAACCCCACGACCACAACTGTTTTCCAAACCTCATGCGAGTTTTAATTCCAAGTCACGGTTCAGTAAGAACTGGGCAGTGTGACCCTAAGCCGACCACACATAAATATACAACAGCACTTCCCACTGTGGTCTGGAGCAGAGAAAACACTGGCACCCAGCAGGCATGCCCTACCAAAGTCAATATGTGAAATGAAAAGCCCAGAGAACGTCAAGCTGCTGCAGTGTTTCCTTTGTTGTGCCGCTCAGGTCGCAGGTTCATTCAACCGCAAGCTGAACCAAACCGATTGAAGTTGTCATTTTTACCACAGGCCATAAACTCTCCTAACTGTAACAGACGACCTCTCTGCTCCAAGCCCACCCACTCTCTTGGAAATGCAGTTTGTTGTATTTCGTGGGGCTCGCCCTGATTTACCTCAGTCGGTATGTCTTCATTTTGTTTGTTGTGAATATGTTTTGGCTTGCACGCCTGACTGCAAACTCAATTTGGGGGGCTCATGGGTTTAACTTGACCTCAAGCCAAATTTCCTGAATGGAACTTTTTGATGGGACTAATCCTGAGTGATCGAACTCCACAACGACTGACTCCAAGTCTGCTTTAGCTGATAAAAACTCAACTACTGTCATAATGTTTGAGTTAGTTTTCTTTTGTTAGAACTGGCACCATAAGTATTGTTGTGGGTTTGTGATTATTACATAGTGAGTTTAAAACTGTAATTCTAATGAATCTCAAGGAACCTGTACTTATTCAGTTTCTTTCTGTTTATCTACTTAGTATTGTCTTTATTTTCATTGGTAAAGAAAAAAATGCATTAAAAGATGTAATAAAAATACAAAAATGTCCTCTCTCCATCTTCTTGCTGTCAGGTTTCACAAAAACATTCTTATTCCATTGTGGGATTATTGACAGATCTTTTTTTCTGTGGAAAAGATCAACATCATCTACTTTTGGTGTAAATAAAGAAAAAACGCATGGAAAAATAGTTTGTTTTTAATCACAAAGGTAACAAGAATATTGAATATCCAGATTAAATCTCCCCAGTACTAGACTCACCGTACAGCCCCCACCCCCAACAACAAGAAAAACAACAACAACAACAACAACAAAAACACCGCTGATATAGATGTTTTTTTAAAAAACTAAACATACAACAAACAATGGACATTAACTAATACACATGACTGGATTAGTCTTCTTCAGGGCAAAAAATTGTTGTCAGTACAGACACCCCAAAAACCAACCAGTATGCAAAACAAACAAACAAACAAACAAACAAACAAACATCTGCCAGCACAAAAAATACGTCAAAGAGGATGGATGAAGACAAATTACAAATTATCAATTAAACTAATCCCAAAACAAGAAACATAATTCATTCAAATTTATAAATATATGTATATAAAGAAAGGGAAAAAAACAAAACAAAAACAAAACTGAGGTAGATTAGATTAGATTAGATTAGATTAGATTAGATTAGATAGAACTTTATTGATCCCTTTGGTAGGGTACCTCATCTATGCACAGATATCAACATATTCAGTCATATGATTTCGACAAAAACTTTCGATCATTTTTCTGAAGCTCATTACCTTTTTGATGTTTAATAAATCGAGTTCTAAAAATGTTCAGTCATGAATCCTCCCGAGCTGGCCGGTGACGTCACCTGTCCCGCCTCAGCGACCGCTCCTATTGGGTGCAGACGCGGAAGTGAGGGGAACACTTGCTAACAACAACACTGACTTCCACTGATGTACTTTTGCCTCTCGGAGGGGTTTTAACTCACTCATGGCTTTACCGACTCAGCTCAAAGCCATCCAGCACCACCTGCGGACCGCACAGGAACATGAGAAACGGGACCCGGTCGTGGCTTACTACTGTAAGTTTGTGAATTGGCTAACGTTAGCTGCGGCTACTGTGGTTAGCATCCCAGCTTTGTTTACCTGAGCCCACAGCTCTCAAGAGCGTGTTAGCTTAGCCTCTAACTTTTTTTTTAATCTTACCTCAAACTTCAAACACAGACCTCTCGCAGACAACGACGGATTTAAATCTTTGAAGCGCCGCAGAGCTGTGGGCTTTAATCGGTCTGCACTCTTAACGGCATCTAATCATGCGCCTGCCAGTGTTAGCTTTGACAGCTCAAACTTCATTAGCCGGCTAACGCTTCCTGAACGTCATGACAGATGTAATTATTGAGGAATTTCACAATGTTTCCTTCACCGAGGCAGATATCCGCCCACAACACAAAACTACACATGTTTTGTTCTGTAAGGCTTTACCTGCTCTACTTTTATCCTGCTAGCTGTACCAGAAATTGCTAATTTCTAACAGTCAGAAACTCTCCAGGTAATCATACTTGGCAACCTGCCATAGAGGTGTGGAGTTAGCAGCTAGCATGTAGCAGCATCTGACTGGTGATGTGAAGTCCTCGTCCAGCTTGTTTCTTGCTTTCATTGTGTGTCATCTGACATAGTCATGAGCCTCCATAGTCAGGCATGGCTGGCTCAGCTGTGAGGAATGGACTCCACCCAACTGCACTGCTATGTCAGTGGATGAACAGTGATTTTAATTGTTTTAACTTGCTGTTGCTTTGCTGCTCAAATTCATTGTCTTTTCTTTTGTCCTGTGTGAAAAGCCATATTTAACTTGGCTTGATATATCAATAGATATTGACACTTATGCCAATGTGATACCTGAGTTTCAGTCCTGATACCCAAACAAAACTGTATTCCGTCCGTACTTTGACAAGGGACACAATTTTATCCTCCATTATATGAACAAAACCCAGCCCCACATTTTCAAATGTTAAAGCAAAGGTCTTGTGATGTTCTTTATTTCTCTCAATATCTTTATTACATCATATAAATTTAATCCCATTACAGTTATTGCTTGTGGGCAAAAGAGACAGAGCGATCTGTCTTACTGTAAATTGAACAACTTTCACATCATTTCATTTCATTTCATCACTGGTAGATACCAAGAAGTCTGGATTTCTGGGCCTAAGACAGTGTAGGGAAAAGCATTGAGAGTCATGTTAGCTCATAGATTTGGGTGTTGTTCTTGGATTTGTTGACAATGTTTGACATAAAAACTTATACAGGCAAAACTGCTTTCACCACAGATTTCCCAAAGTGGGGCCACATCGCTTAACACAAAGACCTCCTCTGTTAATGGAAGAAAACGTTTCATTCCTGATACACAGAAAAACTATTTTTCAGTCTCTGAGAATAGATTTTTCCACCATATTTCTTTTTCATTAACATTTTTTAAAAGGATAAGCACCAGTCTTGTGATATGTTTTTTTTCTCGTATTATTTTTATTGCATTATATGAACTGATCGTACTAACAAATAACCAAAAGCCACAGAGTTCTGTTAATGACGTGCAGTTTTCATTATGAACTTGGCAATTTTGGTAAACTGTCTTATGGCCACAAATACATAAAGCACTGATTGTAGATTAGTCTGCTGCTGAAAGCGGTCCTGAACAAATTTATTATTTCTTCCTTTTTGTGTAACCTTTTTTTTTTTTTTTAAATAACGGCATCCAACAGTCTTTTGTTGTTTTTTTTAAAAAGATGAAGCTCATATTTTTGTGGTGTTTTTAAAGACCTGTTAACACACTGGTTCAGATGTTTTCCAGGGATCTGTTGACAAGGTTGACAAAAACTCTGCCTGAATAAGAGTTGAAAATTGGCTCAGTACAGGTGAAATGAAGACTCCTCTGTTTATACTTCTGATGAATACATAGTAGGTCATTGTAAAAGCAAATCAAACTGATCATGTGATAAGAAATGTCGTCATGTAGGTGACTCACTGTGGCTCTTTCCTGATATGAAAACCTACGTTAAGTGTAAATAAATCAGTTTTATATATGTAAATACATGCATACATAGATACATACATGCATAGGTATAGAAATGTAACTATAAATTACGAAGGAGCTTCTAACCGGTCCATCCATTCATCCAATATCTATACACCGCTTAATCCTCACTAGGGTCATGGGGGGCTGGAGTCTATCCCAGCTGACTCAGGGTGAAGGCAGGGGACACCCTGGACAGGTCACCAGTCTATCACAGGGCTACACTTAGAGACAGACAACCAAGCACACTCACATTCACACCTACAGACAATTTAGAATCACCAATTACACCTGCAGTCATGAGCGATTCATTTGAAAAACCTAGAGACAGATATATACAACTCGCCATAACATGTTAGATGTAGAAAGTTGCCCTTGTTTTCCCTGAAGTAGGGCAAAGTATGTGAGATGACTTTTGATTGATTGTATAGAGTGCACAGGCTTCGGTGCAGCAGGGGTCTGCATCTGACCTAGTTGAGCTGTGACACAGAGGAGTTGCTATATTCACGAAGAGGTATAAAAAAGCTGTCAGATCAACACCATGCGTCCACTGCGCTGACAGACGTATGCACCTGTTTCATGTGACAGCTGAGGGAAAGCTGTGATTTCAGTCCATTTCGTGGCTGCAGTGTATTTTGGTGTTATTAGACAGGACGGGAAATCGACTGGCGCATCCCTAAAATTAACTGTTTTCATGATTTTGCCAGCAAGTTTTGTTTCCTGTACGGTTGCATTATCAGCTGTGCAGTAGTAAGACGTTGAGCTTTGTTGGTTAACTGTGTTTTCAGTTAAGCTTCGAATAAACACGATGCACGCTGCGATCACAATTACTAAAACTGAAAATGACAACAGGTGGTATGTGAATGCAGTAAGGAAAATGGAAAAGCAGCAAGATTTTACTGTGTCTGAAACAAACAACTCTTATTTTTATGACATAAATAAGGAAAACCAGCACAACAGTCTGCATCGTAGTCGTGGCTGCATGCTTGCTTCCTCCTTACCACACGGCTCTGCTGTGCGGCTCTATTACTTTAAAGTAGACCGCCACTAGAAGAGCGTGTTGTGTTTGATGTTCAGCGCTTGTATAGATGCTGTCAGCACTTTGAAGTCCGAGGGCCTCCGTCCTTTGTCACCATGATTGTTGTCATAATCACTGCAGCAGAAATTTCAGGAATATTGTCCTTCAGCTGCCGGTGTTATTTTCCTGCGGTGAGAGCGACCGTCTATCAGGTTGCTTGTTAAATCAATTAAAGCGCCACGAGGCTGGAAAGGTAGGGCAAATACAGTCCAGCATAAACAGTCCTGTGTTCGGACCTATAGGCTGTTGTTTGCGTTCGAGATTGTTTTTTCTCCTTGAAGAATACGTCGCACCACGGCAGCCTCCTTTCACCGTGACTTCTTCATAAAGCTTTGTTCAAAAACATTTACGTCCAGAGATGTAACGGCCAGAATCTGCAGGTCGGACAATGCAGCCACGTGCTTGGGGTAATTTTTTTTTCTTCACTCGGCCGTTCTGTGGAAACACAGCCAATCAGAGACTCAGCATGGCTCATTACAAATCCCTGATTGGCTGCAGACGAGGATGATCGAGTGAAGAAGAGGCGGAGGTCCTGCTGGGAAGTGAATGAGGCCGGGATGAGAATGATGATGTATGTGTGCGGTGGGAAAATACATGGAAACATCATTTTCTGTGTTGAATTAAGTCAGTCTGACTGTTAATCATATGCTTCAAAAGATAATTTCCTTTTCTGTTTTTCTGAGGAGAACGAGGCATGTTTGTCTGTGAGCATCAGGAACATGCTGACAGCGTTTCTTACGGTCGTGGTGGATGTTTTAAACACAGCGCTGCCCACTTATCATAAAACATCAAAGTCCTGAATCATTTCCTATATAACCTATAGTAAAACAGCCTGTTTGTTGTCATAGAATAATGTCATAATCCTGGTTTTTGTCAGAACAAAATTCCTCGAAATTGAATCCAGGAATAACTTTTGCCCATTTAAAGTCGTGGTCGGCCGATCATTACGGGCCGAGTGTCGGTCATATGTGGCAGATTATCAAACCCCGGTCAGCTGTGGAAGGCAATGTCATTGTTTGTTGGTCAGTTACCTGCTCGCCTGAGGTCTGATCACGGAGTTATTCACACTGTCTGACATTAATCAGAGAGAATGTATTGTTGCAGAGCCTGTCGTCACTCATAACTGAACTCCTCAGCTAGTTAATCCTGATAAGTTAATCCTCTGTATACCCTCTGATTAAAGGAAATAACTTTTGTTGATGAGGTGGCTTTTCGTACCGACAACAGTGAAATTTCACTGAAGCCAAACCACAAAACTCCGTTTGATTAAACATTTCTTGATCTTCAGACTGTCCCTTTATCATATGAAAACATTCCCATTTTGGCTTTACGTCACACAGACACAGTTTTCTCAGTGCTCTATCGTTGCAGACACTTCGATTTGCAAATCTTGAAGCCCGCTTATTATAATATCCCGGATATAGTCATAATTCCATCCTGGACCGAGGGTTTGATAATAAACAGGCAGCACTGTACTAAAAATCAAATCAAGTTTATTGTCATGTTTCTGTACATACACAGCAGTACAGGCAAGATGTCAGATCGTTTCTTCAGGATCATTTAATTAGTAAGTTTTGCAGAATGAATGTCTGGGATCTCGCTGTCTCCTGAAGGGGGCGCTGTGTCCATGCACGCCGCCATCATGTTGAACATGGTGAACCTCTTCAGGTCCTGGTTGGTCTTCAGGGACACAAAGACACACATGATGGTGTGACGATGGTGAAGCTGCAGATGCTGCCCAGAGCTAGCTGTCTGTCTGTCTGTCTGTCTGCATCTCCTCCAGCTGTCTGTCTGTCTGCATCTCCTCCAGCTGTATGTCTGTCTGGGATGCTGTCATGGAGCCATGTTCCTGTTAAAGCAGACACACAGCAGTCTTTCTACTCTCTGTGGGTTTCTCTCAGCAAACGTAACTCGTCCAGCTTGTTGTCAAGGGAGTG